CCCTGAATGAAGATGTTCCAGAGAGAGTAAGTCGTAGTCCCAGCCGAGTCGAGTGACGACTTTTTAATTGTTACTTGGCGTACTTTTGCCACATGGGGTGATTGAGTATGTGTCGAATGAGTTATCTGGACTTGTATAATAATTTGAGGATTATATCCTTGTTCTGAGGTAGCTTAGAATCTACTCGGCTCGGCCCACTATATCGTGTGGGGAAGGCGTGCTGACTGTTGAGTCAAATGAAGTTGACTAGGGGATCACTTTCGATTTTTAATTTCTCCCACTCGTGGTTGAGCCAGTGAGAGAGTTCTTGTTGTAGTGTGATCAAAGTCGCATGGAGACAGAACTGAGTGGGAGTTGCGGGCCAATTGAGACGAATATTAACGTGTTGCCCGCCGGCGGACCGATCTGAGTGAAGCCATTGTGCATTCTGCCAAGCGAATTAGATTTCCAAGAATTCCAAATAAAACTCTGATCAAGCATGTGAGCACAAATATGGAATATGGGCTCATTGTGCAGGCGGCTAAAAATAATGAGAAAGATCACCTTTCCAAAATTTCGCCGCATGCGTTTTTAACCAAGGTGCATTAAATGCCATAATGCTTTGACAATGACATTCATTCAAACCTGTAACTTCTTTTTATTTATTTATTATCTCTTTTTAGTTTTACTCTTTCTAGCTGAAGGTGTGGGCGATTTCTCCAAGATTCCACAATGATTTCTCCTGATTTTGTTTTTCTTTATTCTCTTTGTGTTCTTAAAACCCTCTAGGCTACTCTTGATGAATTTGAGGTGATTTTTGTCGACTTTTGAAGAAGAAAATTTTGGGTTTGTCTTAAAATGGGTTTTGAGTTTGCTGAAGATGGCTTTGACATGCTTTTGAGTAGTTTTTTTTTACGAATGCTGGATAGACACAGGATGAGCAATTTTTGAAGAACCGTAGTATTTGGAGTGTTTGGCTTTTGTGGTTTCGAAGAGGATTTGGAAAGGGAATGGGATTTGGTGATTCTGAAGGGGAGTCAGTATAGTTGGGCATTTCATTCTCGGTTTGACTTTGCTCGAACGAGCTGAGTGGTATCTTGGCATTGACGACAAGAAGTCAAAACTATCAGTGTATATTCTTACCACTGCCATGGACTAAGGGAGTTTGATTCAAGGTTTGTGGGATTTAGTAATTTGACACGAAGGCGACGTTAACTTTCTGAACCATTTTTTTGGTTGAGAATTTGCGAGTCTAGTGAAGGAGAGGAAGATGGGTTTTTAAATGCACAAAACATGCCCATGATGTAAGGGTTTTTAGACCACGGAATACCCTCCAAAAGAAATTAAACACATACGAGAAGTGAGAATATTCCAACTGATGCTGGAACAAATTATGAATATGGGGGATTTTTTTTGATGCTCAAGGTATCATATCACATGCTGAATAGATAAAACAAATGGAGAAAAGTAAAGAAAAATTTTCTTATCGTGATAAAATTTTCTGATTAGCGCTGGCAGTCGAAGGGAGTTACATGCTCCTCTGATGTTGCAAGTTATCGTTAGCAGATGATTATCAGGTCCCCACGTGGGCGCCAAACTGTAGATGCAAAAAATCTACCGTCATGAAAATAGGGTGTGATCCCGTGAGGTTGAGGTCACTGACATCCGTTAGACCTACACACATGAAAGGGCAGCGTGAAGCTTCCGGAAAACACCGAGGTGTGTTGCCGTAGGCACTCCGACGCTCAAGTCAGCAAGGCTGAAAGAGATTTAATAAGAATTAAGGAGAAAAAGAATTACCAGGAGTCTTGTCGAGGCTAGACTGCGGAGGCGTCGGGTTCTTGGAGCAAGAACTTAGGAGCAAATAGATGGTTTTGAGTGGTGTAGATTGACTGTGAGAGATTGCCTGCTTAATGAGAGGGCAAGCCTCTGTTTTTATAGTGACCTAAGGGGTTAATCCTAGTAGGACATTGAGTCCTCTTTTGGAGATAATCCCTATCATAAAAAGATATGATTTCTTAACCTTATCAGATTAAGTTTTTAGTTTAAATAGAGTTGGAATCTTAGTAGGACACTAAGTCCTATTTTGGGAATATCCCTATCATGAAAGAGATATTTTTCTTGACCTTAAGATCAAGTTTATAGTTTGAGTGAGATTTGAAATCTTAGTAAAGAGGAAATAGAATGAGATTCTGATTTCCTATTTATACTCTGTTGCGGCTAATGGGCTAAAACCCAGTTTAGCTTAACTTATAGTAGCCCAACTTATAAGTGGGTAGTTCGCAAGGTGATTTTAAGCGTGGGCCCAATGGGATTGGGTTGAGCCTTGGGCCGTGACATTTTATTTCGTTATTGAGCCCGCCAAGCCCAAGACGATTTTTGGCCCTAACAGACTAGACTCAGAATTTCTTAATAATCACTTAAGAGTTCTTATCGAATGTAGGGTTGAATATTTTTTTCAATTGCTTGAGCAAAAGGTAGATAATTGAGGATGCGTTTGTTTCAAAAAAATTTCCCTATCCTATCTTTATCCTACCCAAAATACATATTTGTTTTCTTATTCAGAAAATATTATTCTATCTTATTCAATTATTTTTAACCCTTTAAGGTTTGTTAATTTAACTAAATATCCTTAAAAAAAGTTTAGAAATTGACAAAAACACAAGGTTCTGAAACCCGGACCGGACCGCGTCGAACGGGTCCAATCGCCACTCGCTTGCATTTCCGGTTTAAAGAAACAAATAACCGGGATTTACGTCAAACCGTTTCAAACCGCGGTTGGACCATTTCACTGTAGCAAACTGACGGTCCAACCGTATTTAACACATTTCCGATCCACACCCCCCATCCGGTTTAACACATGAAATGAGAAAAAAAATTTAAAAAATTAAAACTACAGTTGCTCATGGTCAGTTGCTCACAGCCGCACACACAAACTCACAAAGTCAAAGTGTCAGACTTTAACAAATTAATTTTCATTTTTCATTTGCTTTTTGCTTTTGAGTTTTGAGCTACAGATCAGATACAGAGTCGTCTTGCACTCTTGCGGTCTTGCCCCTTCTTCAGTTTTTCATCTTGGATTGCTACTGCTAGTCTGCCATTCCGATCTCCTCCACTCTCCAGTCTATCACTTTTTCATCTTGGTTTGCAGTAACATTCGCGATCTCCTCCACTCTCCAGTCTATCACTTTTTCTGTTTTTCATCTTGGTTTTGATGGTTTTTAAACTTTAATTAGGTGGAGAATCTGAATTTTTTTTTGCCATTTTTGCGTTTTTGCTTATTTCAGTATACTGATATCAGCATGATATCATGCTGGCGTCACCGGTCGGACCAATCGGTCCGACTGGTCCGACCGTTCGAATCAAAAACCGGCCGTTTGACCGAGTCAGCTTCCGATCCGGTTTTCAAAACATTGCAAAAACACCTTCACCTACCCACATTTATCAGATTCCGACCATCACCGTTGGAAGGTGGCCGGAATCTGGTATAATGGTACACTACCGGTTGGATTTGGCCTATAGTGCGCTGATCTAGCCTTTTTCGGTCAAATCTTTGGCCGTAGTTAGTCGTCAACGATGACCCATATCTTTGGTTGTCATTGACGACCTAATACGGCCAGATTTGGTCGTTAATAGCTAGATCTAGCCGTTAATGGCCAGATATAGCCGTAGATCTGGCCTTTTCTTGCCAGATCCACAATGGATCTGGCCAAAAAAGGCCATATCGACGCACGACCGGCCAGATCCACCAGTCGTGTGCCGATATGACGACTCTAGCCACCCTCTAAATTGTGGATCTGGCCAAAAAAGGCCATATCGACGCATGACCGGTCAGATCCACCAGTCGTGTGCCGATATGACGACTCTAGCCACCCTCCAATGGTGGTGATCGACTGCCAGTATTTAATAGGTGGGTGGTGGTGTTTTTGTTAATTTTCAATGTTTTATTATACGAGTGTTTAGTAAATTAACAAACCTAGGGAGATGTTTTTACTAATTTTCAAATCCTACCTCGAAATAATCACCAAACTTTACTTTTTTTAAAATACTATTTTAAAAGTATCAGAATAATGAACCAAACTTACCCTGAATTGAACACTGAAGAATGATATTCCACACTTTCTCCAAACAACACAAGTTTTTCCTCCCTTCAATGTTATTTTGCAGAAATTGTGCGTTTGGTTCATTATTATTCCGATATTTTTTAGAATAATATTTTGAAAAAAGTAAAATTGAGTGGTTATTATGAGGTAGGATTTAAAAATTAACAAAAACACCCCATAGGTTTGTTAATTTACTAAACACTCATGTAATAAAACATTACAAATTAACAAAAACACCCCCACCCACCCATTAAATACTGGACTAGAGTCGCTGTATTGATGCACGACCTACTGGATCTGGTCGATCGTGTGCCAATATGACCTTTTTCGGTCGAAAAAGGCCAGAGCCGCGTTTGGTTGTTAACGACGACCATATCTTTGGCCGTCGTTGACGATTAGCTACGGCCATATACTTAGCCATAGATCTGGCCTTTTTCGGTCAGATCCACGGTGGATCTGACCGAAAAATGATAGATCGACGTACTACTGACTAGATTTAGCCGGTAGTGTGCCATTATACTAGATTTTGACCACCACCACCTTTAGACGGTGGTGGCCAGAATCTGGAAAATGTGGGTTGGTGAGAGTGTTTTTGTTAATTTCTAAACTTTTTTTTTTTGGGTGACTGTGGTGGTCAGAATCTGGAAAATGTGGGTTGATGGGGGTATTTTTGTTAATTTTTAAACTTTTTTTTTTTGTGTTTAGTTAAATTAACAAATTTAGGAAGTTTAAAAATAATTGAATAAAATAGAATAGTAACAAATGTATATTTTGGATAGGATAAGAATATAATAAGGGAAAAATTGGGAAACAAACGCACCCAGTCCAATTTATTTTAATGTGAAAAATTAAAAAAAAAAGAAATAAAATAAAAAATAATTGTCAACATGACATGAACAATACGTGCACACAGATTAATATTATTCTGATTTAAAACTTGGAAAGATGAAACTTCTTTTCTTTTCTTCACTGCACAAAGATTTCATACTCAGATTCTCACTCTATCTTTCCATTAATCTGTAATAAAATCCCTAATCCTCTTCGCTAAAAGACGCATCGATTTCTCCATTTCTCTGCCTTTTCTCAAATGGCGGTACCTGTGGTTAGGTTTCCGATCTTCCTCGTAATCAGAGCACTCGGAGTCATTGTCGCAGCTCTCGTTCTCTCCTGGAACGTTCACTACCGAGGAGGCCTAGCTCTCGTTTCTGATAACAAGGATCTCATCTTCAATGTAAGTAGTAGTAGTAGTAGTAGTAGTAGTAGTAGTAGTTGTTGTTGTTTTTTTGGCTGTTTTGTTTGTTGAATTTTGTAGTTTGTGAATTTATTGTTTGTTGCTTTGTGGTGTATTGTAGGTTCATCCTGTTCTCATGGTTATTAGTCTTGTGCTCTTGAATGGAGAAGGTAAATATTCGATTCTTTTGCTTTTGAGAGATGCAATTAATATGTGCTTCTTAGTTTTTAGGTACTGTTGAGAATTTGGTTTTGTTCTGATGTGCTTTTTTCACTGAAACATTTCCAACACTATCTTTAGTAATCTCTATGTTGGAAATTTCTTAGCTTTGTAGAAGTACTTTTGCTCTTGGTTCTTTGGTTGGAATTTACATCTGTGCTAGGGAATTAGTTGATATTTTATATTTAGTTTATTTCAGCAGATGGAAAATGTTCCTAAATTTCTTACATAGTTTGCTTTACCTTTCAAATAGGAGAGAAACCTGCTCTTTCTAGATTCTGCTCAATATGTTACATAAATTTGGCCTTTCTACCTCTTATGTGTTTCTGGCTGTTGTCATATCATATAACAAGTTTGTATCATAGTATTGTGATTCTGGTGTATGGAGAAAAAGGAGCTTCCTTCTTACCAGTTTGATCACTGAAATAATAAGATTGTTGCATTGTCACAAGCATCATGGCTGTTGATGCAGCATTACTGGATCTGTGTCCTTGATCTGGGTCTACTTGAAATGGAGATATATTGTCCATCTAAGGCTTGTTATGGAGTTGTATGATTCTCTTATCAATTCATCTCTTACATGCAATTCTATCATAGGCATTCTCTATCTGATATTTTGATTTACTCTTGCAATTGATATAGCAGAAAAATTGGTGCATATTTAAATGTTTATAGACATGAACTAAATAATTATACAATACTCTCCTGGTCGTGTCTTCTGGCCTAGGCCTCTGAGCATGAGCTGTGTAGAGTCATGAACTATTATATGTTTCTTGATGTGATCTTTGTGATTGGATGAAGTCCTATTTTCGAACACTCGGGTACAGGAATCTTGGTTGTAAAGTTTGGTATTGATTAATGCAGCCATGCTAGCTTACAAGACAGTTCCAGGGACAAAAAGCTTAAAAAAATTAGTTCATCTTGCCCTACAATTTCTTGCCTTTCTTTTAAGCTTGATTGGTGTTTGGGCTGCTCTGAAATTCCACAATGATAAGGGCATCGACAATTTCTACAGCCTACATTCATGGTTGGGCCTAGCTTGCCTTTTCTTATTCGGCATCCAGGTCTTCTTCATTCTTCTGTTTCCTTTTCATAACTTTCATACTATTTTCCTCGAGTATTTATCATTTCTCTTACATTTATATCCATGTAACCTATCACTTTGAATTGTTATGAACAGTGGGGTGCTGGATTTGTAACCTTTTGGTACCCAGGTGGCTCAAGAAATAGTAGAGCTACTCTGCTGCCATGGCACGTATTCTTGGGAGTTTACATCTACGCCCTAGCTGTCGCTACTGCCACGACTGGTATCTTAGAGAAAGCAACATTCCTTCAGACCAACCATGTGATAGCTCGTTATTCCACCGAGGCTTTGCTGGTAAACTCTCTGGGTATTTTGATTGTTGTTCTGGGTGGATTTGTTATTCTTGCACTTGTTGCTCCTTCAAATGGCAAAACAGAAATTCTGAGATCATCAGAATAGGCTCAGCAGTGACAGTTTATATATGTACTCAGAAAAGATTTACAGGGTTTTATTGTCTCATGATCGTTGTAGAAAATGAAACTTTCTATTTATTAATTTATAGAGGGAACTTTTTTTGTTTTTTTTGGGGGGGGAAGGAAGGGAATGAAACTTAAAATCCTTTGTGGAATGGAAAAGCTTGTTATTTATCTTGAATTTTCTCTCACCATTTCTTCGCATAAAATAAAAAAAATCTTTAACCTAGTGTAGCCTTGGTGCATGATCACGTTGGCATCTTCAACTACCTCTGGGTGGTCGAGTTGTTTGATAAGAAACTCTTGGGTGTATTATTCAAGAGGTTTTAAATTCAAGTCTCTTCTCGATTGTTAATAGTAATAGTCATTGGAGCTCTTACTTGACTATTAGGTCCAGAGTCTTGGGAGATTAGTTAAGGTGTGCGTAAGCTAATTTGAGTACACCTGGTCATGAACAAAAAAAAAAAAAAAATCTTTGGCATCTTCAAATATGCTATATTCTTGTCCAAAATTTGTATGATGAACTTAGTTCAAACAGCTTTTCTTTTGAATCACAAATCATAACTAAATCTTGTCGAGGGTGAATAATTTTACTCATATATTTGAACTATAAATAATAATATAGATATTTCACAATCAAGAATTTTATCTTATACCCAGATAACATATTCTAATTAAGGGTGTTAAAAAATTGTTAACCGCTTTTTTTAATCGAACTGGTTTTCCGGTTCGGGAAAATTTCCAAACCGAAATCGAACTGGTTTGGAAGGAAAATCGGTTCCCCCCCCTCCCTTTTTTATATAACTTATTTTTTTTAATTTTTTCCTAAATTAAATTGTAAATATAAACAATATATATCCAAATAAGAATTAAACATTCATACATATCCATTGACCACAACTAATAATACATAAAAAATTGATACAAATAAAAGTCTAAAATGAAATAATTTTTTTATTTAATATATATATAAAACTGGTTCAAAAACCGGTTTCGGTTAACCCTTTTTTATTTTTTCCTGAACCGAAAATCCAGTTTTTTGAATTTTTTGAACTGTAACCGAACCGGTTTTTCGGTTTTGTTTTTGCATTTTTTTTAACACCCTTAATTCTAATAAAATCTCACTTACCAACAATATTTTAGTTATGTGGTAATAAAATTACAGAAGTAATAGAACTTATCCTAGTTTGAATTATTTAATGAACACAACTGTTACCTAATTTAATTAGGAATAGGAGATCGTTTAATTAATTAAGCATAAAGACCTCAAATTTCGCAGGTCCAAATCTTGTAACAACACTGTTTCGATATTTTCCAGTACGTAACTACGTATGGTAATAGAGTATTACAGATGGAAACCTGATACTTGTAACTCTATATAACCAGCTTCTATCAATCTACTCTCCATCTATCTTTTAATTATTATTCTCTCCAAATTCCTCCCTATCAACTTTCTTCTCAAAGTAATAGGATGACTTTTTTGATTCTTATCATGTGATGCTGTGATGGTGGGTGCGTAATGGGAGGCCTAGGCCTAGGTTCTCCGAACAAGTTAGAAGAGATACTGAGGTATGTCTTCTATTTCCCATATTAATGTACTGGACTGTGTAATCTCAGTATGTAACTTTAATATTAGCAAAATTTGTTCCATGATTTTATGACTAAAATTCTAAAGCCAATGGTAAACAAATTAAAAAGATTTTTTTTATGCAGTTTTAGTTTGTTCGTTAGTTCTCATATTGTTTGAATCAATGAATTTCTATACACATCACGCAAAATCTGTTGCTTTGTTAGACATTTGGCGATTTCCATAGGTATCATGGTGGGCGAGGTGGCCAGGACCCTATCGAGGTGGTGGGCGATCCACGCGGTTCTTATCACGGAAGGGCTATGGCTATGCTTCCGAGGTCGGGGGTATGGGTATGGCATGTCGAACCGCCCCTCCTAGTTAGTAGCTTCAGGCGTTCCAGTCCCATAATAGGGTTTTAATTGAGATGTGTTAAGTTTGCCCACCAAGATCTGAGATACTTGTGGTAATGGGGCTTGCTATGTTTGTATTTCGTGTTGAGGTTTCCTGGTTTGGGATTGAGCTCATAATAAACAAAATTCCCCAAGACAAAGGGATATATGAACATATTATCTCTCTTATGATTGAATTGAATAATAATAGTTTGTGGATTATTTTAAGACCATTTAGCCCCTGATTGTTCATTCTTTGAATCTTTTTTCTGTTATCCCATTTAGATTAAAAAAAAAAGAATATGTATTTGTTTATTTTATTGGGAGTATTATTCTGAAAATTAATTGAATCAAAAGTTTCTATTAACAATCAAATAAGATTCTTACCTGGAACTACTAATTGAGGAAGGACTCTGTAGATGCAAAAAATCTACCGTCATGAAAATAGGGTGTGATCCCGTGAGGTTGAGGTTACTGACAATTCGTTAGACCTGACACATGAAAGGGCAAGCGTGAAGCTTCCGGAAAACACTGAGGTGGGTTTGTCGTAGGCACTCGACGTCAAGTCAGCAAGACTGAAAGAGATTTAATAAGAATTAAGGAGGAAAAAGAATTACCAGGAGTCTTGTCGGAGGTAGGACTACGGCGGAGGCGTCGGTTCTTGGGAGCAAGAAATTATGAGCAAATAGATGGTTTTGAGTGGTGTAGATTGACTGTGAGAGATTGCTGCTTAATGAGAGGGCAAGCCTCTGTTTTTATAGTGAACCTAAGGGGTGGGATCCTAGTAGGACATTGCGTCCTCTTTTGGGAGATAATCCCTATCGCTATAGAGAATGATTCTTAACTTAAGATTAAGTTTAATAGTTTTAATAAGAGTTGGAATCTTAGTAGGACACTAAGTCATATTTTGGGAGATAATCCTATCATGAAAGAGATATGATTTTCTTGACTTATCAGATTAAGTTTAATGTTTAAATAAGAGTTGGAACTTAGTAGGACACTAAGTCCTATTTTGGGAGATAATCCCTATCATGAAAGAGTATGATTTCTTGACTTATCAGATTAAGTTTAAGTTTAAATAAGAGTTGGAATTTAGTAGGACACAAGTCCATATTTGGGAGATAATCCTATCATGAAAGAGATATGATTCTTGACCTTATCAGATCAGTTTAATAGTTTGAGTGAGATTTGAAATCTTGTAGAAAAGGAAATAGAATGAGATTCTGATTTCTATTTATACTCTGTTGCAGGCTAATGGGCTGAAACCCAGTTTAGCTTAACTTATAGGATAGCCCAACTCATAGAGTGGATAGGTCGTAAGGGGTTTTAAGCGTGGGCCCAATCGGGATTGGGTTGAGGCCTTGGGTTGTGACATGTTTATTTCGTTATGCGCGGTCAAGCCCAAGATGATTTTTGGCCCTAACAGTTAGCCACCCACTCTCTAAGTTAAAGAGTTTTAGCTTAGAGAGTAGATTAAATCGATGAGTGCAGACTGAGCGTTAGTGATAGCAGCTCGTTAGGTCGGATGGATCGTTGTGGATTGGGTCAATGACTTGTCGATTTGAGGTGCAAGAACCCTTCAACTAGTCTGGCTGACTGAATGTGTAGCTTTATGGACCAGGCAGGGCAATCGAAGGTGCAAATCCGTGGATCGAGCAGGGTCGATCCGAAGGTGTAAATCTGTGGATCGAGCAGGGTCAATCCGAAGGTGTAATACGTTGATCGAGTAGGGTCGATCCGAAGGTTAAATGTGGATCGAGCAGGGTCGATCTGAAAGTGTAAATTGTGGATCGGGCAAGGCCGATTGAAGGTGTACGTACGTTTATCAGGCAGGCTGATTTGAAGGTGTCCGTACGTTTATCGGCGTGGCTGATTTGAAGGTGTCCGTACGTTTATGGGTAGGCGATTTGAAGGTGTCCATACGTTTATCGGGCAGGTCGATTTGAAGGTGTCCGTACGTTTATCAGCGTGGCCGATTTGAAGGTGTCCGTATGTTTATCGGGCAGGCCGATTTGAAGGTGTCTGTACGTTTATCGGACAGGTCGATTTGAAGGTGTCCGTACGTTTATTGGCGTGGCCGATTTGAAGGTGTCCGTAGTTTACGGGAGGCCGATTTGAAGTGTGTCCGTACGTTTATCGGCCAGGCCGATTTGAAGGTGTCCGTACGTTTATCGGGTCGGCCGATTTGAAGGTGTCCGTACGTTTATCGAGTCGGCGATTTGAAGGTGTCCGTACATTTATCGGGCAAGCCGATTTGAAGGTGTATGTACGTTTATCGGGCAGGCCGATTTGAAGGTGTCCGTACGTTTACGGGCAGACCGATTTGAAGGTGTCATAGTTTATCGGCCGGCCGATTTGAAGGTGTCCGTACGTTTATCGGGCAGGGCGATTTGAAAGTGTATGTACGTTTATCGGGCAGGCCGATTTGAAGGTGTCCGTTTGTTATCAGGCAGACGATTTGAAGGGTCCTGTTATCGGGCAGACCGATTTAAAGTGTAGCCAAGTAGAGCTTGTATGGAGCTTGCGGTCAAGTCGGTGACGACTTGTAGTTGAAACCTTTTGATGAAGCTGGAGCAGTGACTTGCATGGCATGCATGTTTTAAGCAAAGAGCCAAATTGAGAGTCAATATGCATGATGTGCACGTGTTATGGATTGAAGAAGAGTGAGCTAAATGGAAAAACTAGGCTGCATGTGATTTAGTAATGGGGTGAATAAAGAAATATTTAACCAAATAGAGTGGTAGTTAAAAGGAGATAATGACACATACCTTCCCCTTCAAGTGTTGCCACCCATGCTTTCTGAACCGAGTGGAATATTTGATTTGACTTTGAGGAGGTGATACGAAAGTACATTAGTCTATAGGTGAGTGGGTCTTTAGATGCATCGAATAGTCGTACTCGAGCAAGAGTTGTATGAGGGTGAGTTGGACAGACCCACTTGGCAAGCTCACACAGCAAGAAGAAGAAATAACCCAACCCTGAATGAAGATGTTCCAGAGAGAGGTAGAGTAGTAGTCCCAGCCGGAGGGAGTGACGACTTTTTATAATTGTTACTGGGCGTACTTTTGCACATGGGGTGATTGAGTATGTGCGAATGAGTTATGGACTTGTATAAATAATTTGAGGGATTATATC